GTACACAGTTCGGAAACGCGGACTTCTTGATCATATAAGCCGATGAAATCGGCATAAGAAAACATTAAGAATGCAATTTCAATTCGAATATCGATTATGAATAGTTAAGTGATACTTAATACCAAATTAACTCCGAGATATCGAGTGACTGACTGACTGACCGATGTGAATGCTTTTCATTATTCTGTTGTTGAGAATTCTGAGCCTCACAATCTCGAGCGATAACACGTCGACCAATAAAATGCTTGAGAGTAAAATGCTGATCAGCTGTTATTGATATCGCGATAATAATACTCGAGCATCTAATTTCGATAATTTGTTTATTATTTAAAACGCGTATTTCAAAGACACACACTTTTTAATGTTTTATTTAATTTGCAATTTAAATTACTTCTCGTTAATTAAATTGTGCTTAATTTAAGAATACAGCAGTAGACGTTAATAGAGATTTTACGGAACCTTTTTAATACTCATTCAGCATCGTGACATTTAGCAATATTCGTCAAACCACTTGGTTGCGTCGCGCCTGACGCCGCGAACTTTACACGCCGTGGTTGGACGGTTTCAAACGCTCACCATTCAAAATTATTGACACCTCAACATTTTGCTATTAATATTTTCGACTCAGTTTTTCATGAGGAATACGTACACGGCTTTTCTGGTTGGTCTGGATCACCATATCAACTATAGGAAATTAAAAGTTAGGAAAAAATTTTTATATGATAAATTGAAATATACTTTGTGGTTGTTGCTCAAAAAAGCGAAAGTGTAAAAATTAATATTTTTTAAATGTATTTTGTTGTATATATCATAGGCAATTGGTTATTTCAGGAAAATAACTTTTGATTAACCAAATGCTATCTGCCTGGTAAAATGGCTTTCGCCAGTTTCTAATGCTATTTTCCTAATTATATTACTTAGAGACGTCCCTCGATCATCTTCAATTTTAATGAAATTATATTCAACGCGTTTTTGCATGAAACGAAAGAATCTAGTAAAATGTTGTGCCTAGTCCCGCAAACCAAGATATTAAACATTAAAATGTACAACTATTGAGATTAGAAAATATGTCATCCCTCTGTTTCAGGGCCACACGACTTCTATTGTTATATTATTATATATAATTATATTTATTACTTATTACTTCTATAATTAATATTATTATTATATTTAATATAAACTATTGTATAGGTCAATTTGTAAAAATTAATATAAAATGAGGTTGCTTGAGGTCAACGCGCGCGTAGCGCGCGCTTGTGGCTAGTCTCAACATAAATTTCGCGTAATTCAAGAAATGTATTAAATTTGATTGTAATCAATGAAGACAAACATCTGTTCAATTATCTTAAAATTATATAAAAATCTTTCTTATATTTAAAATTGGGTATATGAAAGAAAAAATGGAAAGAGGGAAGGAAATTTCACGCTTAAAAATAACAATACCTACTTATTTATAAAAATGCTCTTTATGCTTATATATTTACATGTAGATCCTTTTTCTCAACAATGTCAATAGTATTAATATATTATTGTAATGGTAAATTCGCTATAAGTTTTCAAGATGATCGCATACTTTTTTTTATTTAACGGATATTACATGCTTCTCTTTGTTCTTCGAAACGAGAACAGAGGCTACTCGAGTGTTTACATAATAACGCCAAAGAGAATTCTATTAATGTTAGCGGCTACTCGTATAATGCTCGTTCTTTTTTATTTTGTAATAATTGTTTAAATGTGACGAAATCCTACGACATACTGTACGCGTACTAGGAAAGAAGTTTTCTGCTTTAGCGGTAACATTTTTTTTTGTTTTGTCTTACAAATCTTTCGTCGTCCATCTTATTCTTCAAGCATCGCGGTTTAATAGCGATTGTAATGCATGAAATATGATGGCTCGTTACTAGATAATAATATCTCACAATAAAGTTCACAAAATTTTTTTTATTTTTTGACCAATCTATATCTGCATATTTTTACGAAAAGTATAATTTTATTATGCACGTACAACAATAACATTTTCGAAAATTTGTACACTAACTGGCGGTTAAACATAAAAGTTTACAACAGGTGGTGACAAAATAATACTGGATTAAACGGATTAAGGTTAAAATTTTTAATAAGAATTCACAATATATGTTCAAAAAGTACATCGAACGGCAGAACGCTTTTTTCTGTATTTTTCATACCGTTTCCAAGACGATAAATAAATTATTGTAAATAGTTGTAAATTAAACGCTAAAAATCATTGAGATGAAGTTTTTTTTTTTTTAGAGAAATAGGCAAAAAACGATCAACCTGATTCCCTTCCCTCTGATAACTATATATAGTCATTATTATTCGGCGATTTAACTAATTGCTGCATAGTTCGTTAACTCGTATATATAATTTTCTTTCGACGGTCATAGCAATACTTGTTGACGATGAGCCGGAGAAAGCCATCGACAAGAGACGCGGGCAGCGACCGCTTGCAAGATAAATGCGTTACGAATATGATAAAATTCATAAATACGCAATTTGAGACATCTCATGTCGCATTTGATCATATTTCGATCAGAGACACACCGTGCAAAGTCGGTGCCAGCCCGATTGCGCGCGACGAGAATACGTCTCTTAATTGAATTGTAAATATCAATTGTAAATGTTAATTAATTAATCAATTCATCTGTCTTTTTTTAATCATTCTATCTTACTAACTATCGCATCTTTCATCAAGATTAAGTATAATTCTGCTATTATTCTCTTTCTTTGACTTTGAATTATGTTACGCAAAAATGCCGCTCGACGGCCCTTCGAGAATACGTATGAATATACGATCATATTTATATATATTACGCGTGTTTTTTTTTTATATCAACATAACAGCTACCAAAAAATCACGGATATGTACAATTAGAGATATGCCCGTTCGATGCATCAACCTCATTTTGAATGATATATAATTTGCATCAGATTTTAGAGTAGAATTTTTTTCTTTATAATTTTATATATTGACGCTGACATTGAAGTATAATAATCATTTGAAATCTAGCATCAAGCATTAAGTGAAATTTTACTTAAGACTATAAGTAAAAGTTTATCCTGAATTTTGACGCGAATTATAGATCGTTTAAAGTGTGCTTCAGCATCTATTCATTCGGCCTTTTGCTTCATCTCTTTGAGGATAATCTTCCGTTCGATTTCTGTCGTTCTGCCCATCTCTCATTCTTTGTCTTCTTCCTTTCTCCTACTTTCCTCGTGCGGTCCGCACTTTTGACTGACGAGGAAAACGAGGAGCCTTAATACTGGTACCGTTTATATTTAGGATCGGCTCCTGGGAGCTCCTTCGGTAGTTTCCTTAATCAGAGTGGTCCCAAAAATATTAAGAAGTAATCGTTTCGTGTGTGCGCACCGCTCTTAATACAATCATCTTTTAAATACGCTCATCGATTTCTTTAATGTCAGCCTCGAAAACGAGATAAAAAAAGATAAAAATTGAAAATATCATCGAATACAGATCGTTGAACATGTCGTATAATGAAAACAATATTGCGTTTTATATATCGTAAGGAAAAGTAAAACGTTTTATTTATTATCTCAATAAATAAATTCTATTCAATACTGAATAATAAATAATAATTAAATAACAAGTAATAAATGTTTTGTGCGTGTCGATGATAGCTATTAATGGAGTGAGTAAATTAAATAGTCTGCAGTGAATAACGTATCGTTATCATTTGAATAAAGTAGAGATAATTTAATTTTACATATAATTCATGTAACATAATTTTCATAATTCATAACAGAACATCGAAGTGCATTTTGTCGAATTTTATATTAAACTGAAATCAAAGTTACGAGTGAATTAAGTAATTGGTTTTATTGAGGAAAAATATAAAATTTTAAATTGTGATTTTACAATGGACAATGTTGTCTGCTAACAGCTTGCACGCACATTGTTGTGACATTCGGCGGCGGCACAGCGACGAATGGTTACAACGATTGCAATCGAGATGCAACGCTTGATAGATACGGTCCTTTTACAATCGATGATCTTGATACGGGGGTTTAGTCGGAGGTCCAAGGAGCGTCGAATATTAATTATAGTAATTAATTAATGTTATTAGTAGCCATTGTTCATTGCTGCTATATACATAATGTTCCTTGAGGATGCTACGTATTAGGTAAATACTGTTGTGGTATACCGGGATGTACTTTGATTTCACAGTATTTAGTATAAATTACACGTAATGATGAAAGTATATGTGCGTTTGTTGCGCTTGCCAAATTATTGCGCGATTTCATGATTTATTAGACTTCTGATGTTAACATTTGAGAAATTTTAATGCATCGTAGCTATTTGCGTGTATAAGGTGATCAGTAAACAAAAAAACTAAAAAGAGGAAAAGAGATAGGAATAGGTATAATCGATTATTCAAATAATTAATCGATTATTTTCTTTGTCTTGAGAACAGGAGTGATGAGCAAGATTATCTCGATTTGCACTATAATCGAAAAGTGCAATCACATCTATTTATAATCACATCTATTTAATTTTTAAAAACAAATTTTAAAACGTTTTTTAGAAACAAATAGTCAGTTATTCTTATTCATTAAAAAGAGAAATATTTTAGATTTTTACAAAATATATTGTAACTTCTTATCTTTCTAGAAGAAGAAAAAGAAAAATTATAACGGAAAATATGTCAAATGCTTTCATAAATACAAAAACATTGCAAGCAACGAAAAATACATTTTGAAAAAATGAGACACATGATCACCTGACTACTCGCAATATTGTCAAATGAGTCGGTAGATAGTAAATTACATGCTGGTTAGCATGTTTCTGAAAGTATTTTATAACGATTGCAGTAACTAACGGTATTATAAATACAGTTTGTTTTTATTTATTTTTCTCATTTGTCTTCAGTAATTTGATCTGTAAACCGGACTAATCTGATTGTTTTTATCTTTCTTTCCACACTTAGCAAATAAAACAATTGTTTTCGGGTCGTACTGATCTATTCTCTTCTATCAAATGATATTTCTTTTATCTATCAAATAATGTTCTTTTTATTTTACTTGTTTTACTTATTCATAATCAAAGATATGTGTACAAATAAAATTGCCCAGTGTGTTTATTTCTCGTTTTTTCTGTTTATCTGTTTCGCAACATTTGGTCTTTTATGTGGATACGTGATATGATTACATATTTTCGGAAAGATATGAAGGATAAGGAAGGAAGTGGTATCCAAAAATATACAGAGTCCCCAGTGACGTCGCGAAGCATTTCTCGGAGAAAGATATGACTAGTGTATATATTTCTATATTTTTCTCATAGTATTAAAAAATCCTGGTGTTTTCGTGTCGTACAGCTGTACAGATTCGCCTAAAAAGTCAGTCTGCGGAGCCGTCTCGAAAAAATATAAAATATTTGGGACGATTCGGACGTGGAAGACGGGGCAAGGCTATCTCGCGACCTCACTGGTTTGCGACGTCAGATTCCATATTGTTTCTCATTAGTTAATTAATTAACGTTATTAGCGAAATTATTTTCCATAAAATTAGGCTACCGGCTTCGAGTGTGCGACGAAGATCGTCGACGCGCGAATGCCTTGTCACGTGAAAAAATAATCGAATAGAGCAATAGCACATTCGGACGCGGTTTCCATCGACACTCCTTGGTCTCGTATTTATAGTCTACGTATACATACGCTCGCTAAAACAGTCAGGAGAGAGGGACGGTAATCGAGAATGCAACACCGATCTACCCTCTAGCGTTAACAATATATGTATAGTAAATACGTTCTTTAAGTAGCAACTCCCAATATACATTATGATATTCTCATCGGATTCTACACTCAAATTCCTTATCACATGGTTGACTAGACGCAGAAAGAAATTATTAACATTAATAGAGCGAACAAATAAAGTGCGATAACAGCGATATATAACTTTATTATAGAGCTTTTACGCGATAGCGTAACTCTCGTATCAATGGAAAACCTCAGGTACGACGTAAATGATAAAAATGATGCTTATGACGAGAAGTCACATGAAGCTACGTAATTTCTTTGGAGATGCGATATATCGATTAGACGAAGGCGAATCCGATATATTTCAAACGGAAACACGTTCGAACAAGGAAGCACTTCCAATATGTCTAAACATTACGAATATGTCACGGATCTAGAAATCACTTAGAATCGTCGTTTGGCAAAAATGTTTAGAGATCGCCCGGTGCGATCTCCCTCCTTCTTTCGTTGTACAAAAATAATAAAATCAGGCGTGACGCGTGATATTTAATTTTTTGTTTTGACGCGCCAGCGCGTCTCTATCGAACGCGGAAGCTGCAGCATCAATCCGCGTCTGATACAAATTTACTGCTACATAACAAAATCCAATATGATGCTTGGCTTTCATGCGAATTTAAGGGATTTAAGAATCGTCGCTTTGCCACTTAATGATTGTACTACGTCGTAAGTTTAGATATATGCTATATCTTTTTTAAAACTCTTGAAAAATCTTTGAAAATGGCGGCGTAATAATCTTCATGTCGGTATCGTTCGATTCTATTTGAAAAGTTCGATTTGCCGAAGTTATTTTCTGCGATGGCGATTTCATTATTCAATATTTCGCTCAAATATCGTGGAGGTAATCGAATTTAACAATGTCGCGTTGTTTTCCAGACATTAAAATTTCCCAAAAAGTTATTCTGCTCTTTCTCGAAGAAATGATTTTTTTTTCTTTTCCTATTGGAGAAAATTTTTTTGCATATTATCACATAATTAGTGATGGAAACACGTTGTTTGATATTTCTTTATATATCGCGATAGATATTAAGTATTCTGATCGTACCACTTGTTCTATCATTCGGCTTAACGACTTACAGATTCTAACTTGTTTCGATCGTCCACGTGACGCTTGTATTACATAAATTCTTGATAAAGTGAAATCTTTCAGCTTTCTGAAGCTCTTCTTTTAGTTTGAGATCGCACCTCGACAGGATCATCGGCATGAAAAATGTTTCGCAAGACCAGAACTAGTTTCTGATCATAGTAATTAGACTACGAGCTTACGGGTGACTTCTCCGAGCGGCGAAGATCGATGATATCGACGACGCCCTTGACTGCCACTATGATTTCCAGCTCATCAATTTTCTGAACGAGACCTTCTTCAGTTGAAAAGCAACATTCAGTATGTCAGATTCACGCGTATCTTCTCCATCAGAATGAACTTCTCGTCTACGTCCCGACATCATTAACCGATGTCTCAGGCCTCTAGAAGTGGGGTCCGACAGTGCTTCCGAAACAGGCACCTTTTCTTTGCTGGATCCTGGCAGGGACACCGATCTGCCTACGGAAAATCCCTTACTGAGTCTATCGAGGGTCGCTGGCAACAAGTTCCGTCTCGGAATGGCTTGTTCTCTTTCTCTAAGGATAAACCTGCCGAGAGTTTTCCAAAAGGCTTGAGTGGTATAAACATTTTCATCGTCACTCAATACTCTTAACTGACGATTTCCACTTCCGACAGCGCCCGCACCACCCCATTCCAGCTCCTCGACCAGAGCAAACTTGGTTGGGTTCTCCATTCTTCTGGCCTTTATCAGAGCTTGCGCTAACACGTCCTGAGCTGAGCTGCTTATCGGCACACGTAGAATCGCATAAGGGATCTCCGGCGAGACGTTATAAATGCAGACTAGAAAGGTGTCTGCCTCGTCCCATATGTGAGTGGATTGGTCCCTCGTGTTGGAATCGTTGAGCTTCGAGTGGCCGGCCGTGCTCCTGATAGAGGCGAGCCACGCTCTACTGCTTGGATCGTCGCCTACTCGCTTCAACAGGAAGCGGCCTTGCCCTTTCCACAGGGCCTGTGCTTGAAGGGGATGTTCTGTAGGGTCCAGCACACGTTGAGTTGGTAACTCTTCCTTGTCTCTTTTCTCCCATCCGCGAGACACTTCCTCTACCAAAATGTACTCATCTACATGATCCGGCGATATTCCTGCTTTCTGTAACGCCTGCAGCATCACCTCTTGCGTAGTACTCTCCTGGGTCACTTTCAGGATGGTGTACGGTTCGTCTGGTATCACGTGATAAACCATCAGGAAGAACATTCGTCTCTTCAAGGTGACACCACCCAGGGATCCGGGATCAACGGTGCTCAGTTTCTCAGGTTCTTTGCTCGACGAGAGACGCTTAGATGACTCTTTATGATCGCGGCAGCAGGTGTTATAGTCCAAACTCTCCTCCTCCAAGCGGGAATAGATAAAAAGCGTAGAAAGGGCTAATGGCTTGTTTTTACAAGATCGTAATCGTACGTGTCGATAGCCAGGTCGTAGACATTTAAGCGGTATTACGCGTTGCGCGATCACGTGATGAGAGCTTGCTTCGATAACACCGAAACGTAGGAAGGCGAGATCTTTGAACATCACTTGGAAGCAGAATTTTTCATTCCAGATGGGATTCAAGGCATTGTTATGGATCACCTTTGTTTTGTGTTTCGCGCAATCGATCGGTATACCGACCAACTCGACCTCAACATATGTGCTGGTGACGAAGTTTGTAACCGAAACGTATTGTCCTGAGACTATTGATAGACTTAAATGTGCAGAATGCAGCCCGTCGAATTCTTTGTCCCAAGGGTTGAATCGTCTGTAAAAACATTTATAATTGTTTAAAAAAATTTTTTAAAATGATTTATATAAGCGTTCAGAAATAATTCTTTATTTAACTTTTTTTTTTTAACATACAAAAACGTTCTATTATAGCAAAGATAAATTTTTAGAATGTGATCAGAAACAATTATTTGCTTATGATTTATAATTAATCGATTTCTTAAAGATTGTATGCTACATAGCTACATAATTTATAATTATTATTGCTGCATAACTAGAAAATTTATAAGAAATATAACGGAATATGAATTTACCTGTACATCATATGTCCTTTATCCCACATCACTGAAGGTTTTCTAACATATCCGCATTGACCGCTTTGCTCAAACATGGCTGAGTTCAAATTTAATCCCGCGTCATCAGTTTGATAATTCAACGCAACCATTTGGATTCCAAAAGCCCAAAATATTACAGGGTTGAAATTTGTGGCGACTACGCCTAACGGTTGTTTCCTACAGATTTTTTTCGCTGAGCTTTCGTTTAAAGATGAACATTGGAAACAAGCCGGCATTCCACGAGTGGATCTAATAACATAAGAACGGAAACATACATACTACTATGTTTTTTTTATTTACAAAATCAGTATTTGTTAATGCCGATGTGATAATGCCGAAAAAGAAAATACGAAACGACGCAAGAAAATAAGAATAAACTAAAAAAAAAATATAATAAAATAAATATGTGTGATATATAAGTATAGGAATGAATAGAGAAAATATTTTACAATAAAAAACTGACCTGAAGATATTATCGATGTTGCTACCGCCGCTCGCGATCGAGGCAGACGTCGAAAGTGATTGCGGCGATCCTGATGAGGAAGCTATACTGCTAGGTCCTATACCGGCGATGCTATGCCTCTGAACTGGTCCTGTATGCGATTGATGACGTATTTTTCCTGATCCGACTGGCATGGTATTTAGTCCGCGAAATTTAATCGCCTGCAGATAAATTACCAAATCCGACAATTCCTTGGCTATCTGGCTACTTTGCTTTTGCGTCTTGTCGTCCATCCCTGGATCCGATTTTAAACGACCGTGCGGCACTTGGCCGCCACCCAGATATCTCTCGTAGCTCGAAATCGAATTATCTGTACGTAATTAATTGCACGTCAAGTGATTCGTTTCAGTGAATTTTTAATTGATTGCAATTACTATAATATATTTCTCGAAAGCAAGGAAGAGAGAAGGTTGGATTTATATTAAACTCAAAGATAAAAGGATAATTAAATAGGATACAGTGACAATAGTAGCCACTGCAACATATTTAGATTAAATTTGAACTTAGAAAGGTTCTTAAGAACAGAAATTTATAATGAATTTCAATATCCTTTTTTGAGAAAATATATATCTGATTAATGTTAAATTTTCCAAGTATTAATAATGTATTATTTTTACCATCGATGTTGTCATCCTCATCGTCATCCTCTTCGTCGTCTTCATCCTCACTAAAGTATTCCACAACTGATGTGCTGCTTACATCAGTCCGCATTTGCTTCATGGAAGATGCGCGATCCGTCATAAGCATTTTTCCTCGATGACTAAGGGGTGTGTGCGATAAGGGGCCGGCAGGATCAATCACCAGCTTCTTATTTTTTATCAAAATTCGGTAACGAAGTTGCGAAGGCGAAGGCAGTTGAGGATCGTCACTGAAGTCGGACTCGAAGAGAAATTTCGTCACCAATTTCTCGCCAAAAACAGACTGAAATGATATTATATTTTTTATCATAATTTGATAAAAAAGGTGCGATGATAATTACTAAGAAAATACAATTTGTTAGATAATCAATCGAATACCTGAAATATTTGAGCCATACGAGCTTGCTGACTTGGCGAACAGTGATTTTCGATGGAAAGGATTACGGGATAAGGGGAACTGACAAAGGCGCTTCGATCTATCGCTTCTACAACCGAGCGAAATGGTATTTTTGTAGTGAAAGTGTGACCATGATAAATCAATGGTGATCCATCGTCACCGTCCCAACAATCGAGCTCTACACAGCGACATCCGGTTAAAAGTACCTGCACAAATTTTTGTTGTCAAACAATAAGTTTTATACGCGCTAATTACTACTTCGAATGGAAATTTGCATAACTTATTTCACACGATTCAAAGGAATGCATATTTTTAATTGGCGTAATAAATTTTTTCATAATTCTTGGATATATATACTCTCTGAAACTTAGAATGAATCTCATTTTTACAGATTGAAAACTGAATTATTCTTTTGCAAGACTGAAATTCCACTTCAAAGAATTTACAAAATATATAAATAATTTTTTACCTATTTATATATTTTATATTTTACTGAATAATGATTATTAAATAATAATGCATAATTTGCAATTCGTTATAATGAAAAGAAATTAATATTCTAATAAAAATAATTCATTTTACTTCTATAAAGTTTATTACGCGAGTTTATTTTTAAAAGTCACAGCGTACCTGCGAATATAACTGTACGGAGGACTCTCCTTTGAGTTGATGTCCGGTTAAATATGTGTTGTGGGAACTTGCAATGTAATATTGCGACAGAGGCTGCTGCATTTCGGTTTCGGACGGTGTTGCATACTCGTTCGGGAAGGCATAATTGTCCTTGTCCATCATATACCGTGCAAAACCCTCAAAAGACAAACACCACTGTGTGCGAAGTACTGGATCCGGTTCGTGCCTCTGAATGAGAATAAACGAGCTCATTTGATTGTGTTACATCACATTGGTGTGAGCGCGCGCGTGTAATGATGTCATGACAGTCGCATGAGGATGGGAAAAAGTTAAGTCTTCCATTTCCAGATAAGGAAAATTGAAATCACAATTTCGCCATAAGAGAATAAACGAAGGATCGTTTATTGTCTTCAATAAAAGCAGTTTATTCGCAAAACACTTTAACGGTGGTCTGACGTATAAAATATTACGGGATATTTTTCCTGTATATCCGAAACAAAATTGTCAGAGAAAAATGAGGCCGTCCAGTAAATATTCTTTCGTGAGTGAATTTCTGACCCCATAAGCATTTACCTTGATCAGTGTCTTGATTTCGTCGTCACTCAACTTTTCCTGCTGCCGAGATTCCAGAAATTTCGTAAATGTTGCTAGAGTAATTACTTGGGATTTCGACGTATCCACGCCCGAGCAATTATTGATTATACTAGCCGCCGCAACAGCATCAAAGATTTGCTTTTTTTGTAGGTTGCTGCCCGTCTTGTATTCGTGACAGTCAATAGAGTTGTTTCTCGTCAACAAACCTGGCACAGGTAAAATGTTGATTTTTCATTTGAAATAATATTTAAAAAACTAGTACTCAAATTTATTATTTTTTATTATAAATAAATATTTTAAAAAGTAATCATTCATAGATTGAAACTAATGTAATTATGGTAACCATTTTTGATAAAAGTGGATATTTTTAACAAATATCGATAAACGTACATATGCTATGCCAATTAGGATGGTTATAATAAAACTTAATAGTGTGAATCTAATTTATTCCATGCAAATTATTATTAAGTTAACTCGCATATCTATATTTAAGAATTATTATTGCATTTCCATTATCACGATTAAATATAAGAATTATTTTATGCATCATATTCTACTTTTTCTTTTAAATTTTTACATAAAATTTAATGATTATATCGGCTCACCGATTCTTTGTGGAGTGGCATCACTGGTTTGTCTGAGCACTACCGGGCGGATGTTAAAGTCCCTTAACGATCCATCACTCTGGCTACGACATGTTATTGCTAATTGGCCGAACAGATCACGCAAATCTTTTCTGGCTCGTAAGCTGAACGATCGGAAAAGTGCGACGAACTCCACAAAGTTTAATTGTGTCTCGTACATCATCGAGGTAGTGCGCGTTCCTTTCATGTGCCAAGGAGCCTCAAAGCCTCCTGATATACCACCAGATCCGTTCTTGTCCTTTTCTCTGGCGACACATAACAAACTACGCACAAAATATGCACGCGTTATTGCGACGTATACAAGAAAACTTGTCGAGTATAATATAAATAATTTAAAGGTTTTTTTTTTATAAAATTTATAAAATTTTCTTTGTTTCTACATTTTTCTTATTTTAGGAGCATATTTTTTCTACATCTTAAAAATATATTCCTAAAATATTCTAATTATTTACATCTAAAACTGGCGAAATTATTTGGCTTAAAAGTCAAGAAGTTCAAACGAAAAAACTGTTTATTATATTTAAAAGGAGCAAAATTGAAAAAAAAGCAAGAATCTAAAACATTTTATAACTTTTTTTCAAATTGTCCGAAAGGTATTGTCACGAAAGACTGTTTTCTCATCACGTTATTCATACAATTCTTTTTTTTAGATATTATTACCTCTATATTAATAAAAAAAATTCTGAAATATTGTTAATGCATAATAAACATAAGATGCTACAGCTGCAAAGATTTGTTGCTTAAAAAAAAAAAGAAAATGGCAAAAGTTGTTCATTTTTATCACTTTAGATGAGAAAACTTTCTTAAATTCATAATTCAGATTTATGTTCAAATAAGTTTCAACACGAAGTCGTAAGATTTTCTATTCCGATCTATATAATTCCCGACCTATATAAATCTTTTGCTCAAAATCGATAGATAAAGAGAATTTGATGTGATAAATCAAATGTATGAGAGGATGATGTACCTTTGAAAAGCGGAGTAAGGCAAGTTGGAAGTAATACGGTCGGCGGAACCGGGTGGACTACGTGGCGGGATTCGATCTCGGCTTGCTCTCGGTGACGCTGGTAGGATCCTCGTTAAAGACTCTCTGCTTCCAGCGATATGACGAAGAGGTGTAACGCACAGACCTCCATCCGAGGTCGAGGAGTCGTACTGTTTTATACTCAGATCCTACGTTAAATCAAAACTATTTAATTCGATGAAGACAGTTATTTACAAAATGAAATATGGCATTTGGAGTAATCTGGATCTGTAATCTAATTTACGTTTATTGTAAAAGATGCGAGATAAGCCTGTGTGCGAACCTTGGTCAAAGCATGAATGTTGCCGATTGATTTTGTCTTTTTGCCTTTAACATTTCGTCTGCGTAAAGTGCTGCTGCTCGTTGGAGACAGCGTGCCAACACTTTCTGTCATAGACCAGTCGCGACCGCCAAAAATGCGAATAGCGTCGGCTGTCGTCGGCTGCTCCAAGCCTTCTATCGGCTGTTCCAAGTACGAAAAGTATAACTGAAGATATTTTTCTTTTAACCAGCGCGATCTACGATCTGTTAACTGTTGTTGTCGTTTGAGGCCTCGCAATATCCAGCATAATCCCATGTACCATATTCTGAAAGCAACATGCAAATTACATAATTTATGTAGCTCGACAATACGCAATTTAACAATAAATTATTAGAGGGAATTGTTAGGCCCGTTCAAAATACGTACGAGAGAAAGAGAGAGAGAGAGAGAGAAATGTTTGATATTAACCCACTACTAATCAATAATTATATCGAATTATGAACGTATCATTAATATACTATTAATAAACTCAATCTTCTGGTGAAAAGATGGATTAATGGCATAGTAATTAACTTGGTAATTTTTTACGAACAAGTTTGTGACATAAATAACACATAAAATAATTAAATTAAGAAAAAATATTCATGAAATAATCTCAAACGTATAAATAAAAAAAAAATTTTCTGAAAAAAAAAACATAAAATTAAGCATCTTTAATTTCGTTAATAAAAAATAAATATATTTTTATTTTTTAAATTAAATTATACGAAATATGGTGATTTTGAATCTCCTTTTCTTTCTCCGGATTATTAGTAAGAAATATTCAAAAACTAATCGATGCGCGCAAAACTAGAGAAATAATTCATACGTACTTGCTAAGAGCGGGAGGGCAAAGTAGGAAGATCAGTCGATTGTCCGGAAGATTGGAGCCATACATAAGGCCGATGCAGCAGTCGGAGCCAGGTAGGCCGTATCTCTTGCAGATGCTCCTGAGATCAGCCTCTCGATCGCGATCGCAACAGCCGATCATTATCTCTTTCACCGATCCCAGGTCGAGATATCCCTCCTCCAAAGTGACAGAAGCGCAGTCAGCCTGCTGCTGCGTGTACCTGCCGACTAGGCCCGCTGGTATCGCATCCTCCGGGTTCGTGGTTAGCGAAACCTCTGTGAGAACGGCACCTCCAACTTGCGCCGTTTTTAAAGGACTCCAGGGTGGCTTTTCCCACACGAAAGTGCCACAAGCGCGATCGACGCGTGCGAACACCAATGCTGTTCTCGAGGTACCACCCTCACAATCCCAATGCACCAAAGTCGTGCCATGATGTAACACCTGAGATATGTAGTTTTAAGGAATATAGAAAACCGCATGTATTTCTTAGATCGATGAAAAAGGTTCTTCAATTTTCTATCAATTTATATTAACCCTAGAACGCTGTTGATATTCTGATACAATGCTGTAAATTTTACGTATGAAATAGAGTATTCTTAATTAATATATTAACACAAGATTTTAATACTCTTATAATACTTTCCTTAACGAAATATTTGTAATTTAAAACTTTATTAAACACAAATAATCTAATAAAACAAGTAATCAAACTCTCGAGAATGTCAAAAAAATAAAAACAAATAAGAGCTAATGAGAGTTTTTTGCGCGCTTATTAGTGTGAAAATAAAAATCCTTTATTGTCGAAAAACTATAGTATAATTATATACGCATAATAGTTACAAATAATCTAATTATTAACTTAAAAAAAAAAGAAAGAATAAGCATAATATATTCAATCTTAAAATGATATGGAATATATGTAGTCTAATGTTTTCTCATAGCACTTATCAATAAAATACAATATATAACATAAATCTGTTTAAAAATTGAAATTGCTTATCACGCTCTTTGTTATAATATTGATTACCAGGAGATTGAAATTGATATATAACGGACTGAATTTTTAAAAACTTGTTCACGCTTTGATGGATGATACTAGAATGGTGCTCAATTTGGCTTCAGCTTTTAATAGATAGATTGGGACCCCTGCTGATCGCTGAAGCATAGCTCACTTGCATGTATACGTATATAGTGTTCTAGGGTTAAGTTAAAACCGAAGTTCTTTGAAAAGGGAATTAAAAAATTTCAAATTTTAGATGGAAAAAAAGGATGAATCGAAGGCTAGAAATTTTTGTTTAATTTTGCCGAAATTTTATTTTTAATTTTATAAATATTTGATAATAACTTGATCTTTTGCACATGTTTAATAATATTTGGTCACTGTATAATATTTGACACATCATTTTGCCTGTTATCAATTTTTTAATTATCTTTCTTGACCATTGTATTATTATCATTATTAGTAAGGAAATCTAAATAAATTTCATAAATTTAACTAACTTAAATTTCTATAAAAAATTTCTGAAATAGAAACTCTTACCTTTTCATAAGAGTTTCCAAAGAAAACATTTAATTTAATATTTATAATCGACATTTTGTATATTATGACTGTAGTATACACATTCATCAACTAAGTGGTTGCAACACTTTTTTCGATGGGTTTCGGAATGCAGCCTGCTCGTCGAGCGATTGATTCTTACTTATGACTCTAACTTTAAGTTCAACCGTTCTATAAACAAGGCTGAGTTCCAAAACCTGTTGAAAAAAGTATTGCACCTTTTAGCTGATGAATATATTAGGTGTTGGAATTAATTCGTAGCGTTTTATAAGTGATGGGAAGTACTTTTATTAATGTATTTTTTAATGCTCATGTGAAATAAATAACATTCTTTCATTAAAAAACGCTACGAATTAATTCCAACACCTAATATATGTATGTAAAAGCTTTTGTATTTCTGTACATTTTGTCGCCAATTGACAGAAATAATACAACGTAAATGCAAAAATATAAAACAAAATGTAAATACGTAACAAATGGTCTATATTTGATTTTGCTCGAAACGTTGTTCTGCCAGTATTTAAATTTAGATGCAGTAATAATCTGGGAGTTGTCGTTTTACTGGATTACTGTGATAATGTCATGTTTAAAAAGAAAATAGAATAAGCACTTTGCTGTTAATATAAATATATTAATTCAGGGTGCACGCGTAAGACATTTACTTCTCGCTACTACGAGGTTCTCGCAACTGCGTCACACGAAATATTCCGTGCTTCTACAAAGTATTAGACGGCGTGAGTGCATTTATAACACTGATGGGGCTCGTAATGTACTTATAACGGCGTTTACGCGGTCGTTTCTAAGCACGGTATACAGGTGGACATTTATTGCACGTACGCTCGCATATGCGCAAATTTGTGCATTTGGCTAGAGTTATTTATCGATAACGTAGGCAGTTACTCAAATTCAAAATTTTCCATCACATAATGTACAGTCTAAAGGTGAATAAGGAAAAAAAAATATATATATATATATGTGTAGACTATATTATACTTTTTGTGCAATTATCGCATTGTCGCGAATAGAAAATAGAAATAGAAGTTAATTATGTGCAAATGTCGAAACATAATTTCAATTCACTTTTAATTAGTTACAATTATTTGCTGGTATCAGTATGAACAAACACGCGAAGAGCAGGAATTTAATTAATTAATTTAATTAATTTACGAAATGTTAGCGTTCCTATCCATTTTTATTTTTGTAGTCACATTCAAATTACCTTTGAAACTTCTCACGTTTACATGTCCGGCATGCTTTTCCATTAAAAAATACTACCCGTAATTTAACATCACAGAGTTGTAGATTTTACGATGGTTTATCAGAAAAGTGCTAATTTCACTACACTTTCAAGCTTAATTTCTGTCGTTTAATTTTTACGATTTTTAAAATTGAAACTACTCTTTAAATATAAAGGATACCTCAAAAGTATTTGATTATTTTCACAGAGAAATTTAAAGTCAAATTTTTGTTAACAAAAATGAAGACATTCTGAATTTATAAAATATTATTTTTTAATTAACATTAATTTATATATTATTATTAGTTTAATAGAAGAATACAAAATTCAAATTAATAACAGAAGAAACAATTAGAAAAGAAGTATGTTTAATATTCAAAATTGTAAGAAATTTCAAGGATCGAATTTTCGTTAAATAAAGATGAACATCATTTTAATTAAAAAATAGGCGAAAGTTCTTGGATTACTAGCAATGTTAATATTATCACACTTGTATTATTGATGCTAACAATATGCGTAAATATTTGACATGTTTGCATTCTCTGAACATTTATTGGTACCGAACCTGTTATATGAGAAAGTTATTCACAAGAACATTGAGCTGGAAGAAGTTGTGTAGCTTTCCCCGAAATTTTTCCGAAATATCTATTTTTCACTTGATATACAGTCAATAGATTCGCATGTTATGTATCCTCCGAGAACGTTCTGTAGTGGCAGAGAGAAATTCATGGTATATCGATTGTATCGGAATTTTATGATGGGAGGATAACGAATTTTATTCGTTATGAACCATTTCTCCCACAAATATGTCGTGTCCCATTTTTTCTCTTGCCACTCAATTAACGCTGACAATTGGTGGCTCGATTCAAAAGGATGACCTAGTTTTACGTACTGAGTTACGTTTTTTTCGTCAGTCTCCTTGATTTGTTTGTCGCAGAGAGAGACAAAGACATAGAGAGACAAACAGAGGGATGGGGGGAGGGAGGGAGGGAGAGAGAGAGAGCTTTCTTTCCCTTCCCTCCTAATCTTTTCGCATATTTCTCTGTTTTCTTTCTAATTTCCGCAAAGCTTGCCGGAGATGTGGAAGTAAGACTAGTTCCCTTTGAAATCTTTTTGATGTATAGCAAGCTACGTGTTGACAGTATCTTTTATTTCAGTCGCAACGCTATGAGGGAAACGTCGTTAATGAAAATTTTCAATTTAAAAGTTATACACAAATGTGAAATTTTTCTATCTTTTTATATCTTGATAAATATCAAAATTTGCGAAAATAGCAAACGCGTGAGAGGCGAATATTATTTTTCCTACATTTCTTTTGTAATTTATAGTTTCAACAAGAAATTGCAGATCTAAGGATCTCTATTCTTTTTCTTTGGCTACGATATCTAATAAAAAATGCGAAGGTATTCACTTAAATTTCAAAGTAACTGTGGAATTCCTTAACAAAATAGAAATTTCTTGCTCGTGTTTGTTTGAACATTACGGTACTACGAACAGAGAGAGAGAGAGAGAGAGAGAGAGAGAGGGGGGGGGGGAGGAGTTTGAATTATATCTTAAATCATTTTTACTTGTTTAAAAATCCTGGCTCTCAGTATCGATTAATATACAGGATTTATACGTAACAATCTTCATTAATTATACCTAAATGAAATGTATATCTTTCATTTACATAATATTTTACATCCAAGATAATTATTTTTGACAATAATAGTTTTTGCATTTCTAGACGTTCATTTAAATGTGACACTAAAAATTATAATACACAAAGATATTAAAATAAATTTAGTTGAATTTCTCGTTAGCCATAATTATGAATAACAAATGTTATAGTGTTCTGTTTAAATAATCGCATCCACTCTTAAGAGATGAAAGAACTCTTTTGAATATGGTATCGTCTTTCGCTTCGCAGAACCTTACTTGAACCTTAGCATTTCGGATGTTGTTTCTTCCATTATGATGCATTAAATTCTCATATTGAAACTTACCGATTTGATAGAGGAAAACCATTATTCATTTTGACTGATACAAGAAAAATTTAAAATTTTGCATTGTGCTATATATCAAAGAGAGAAACAATGGTAACCCAATTCCTTAAATTAAATGATTTTGTTATGTTTAATTTTCATGTGTATCAAAATATAAATTAATCCATTTCTAATTAATTTCAACGTAAACGTTTATATTAAGGTATTAGTAAATGAGATAACTAGATTTGAATAAAAAATACATTTTCTTAAGTTAAATTATTTAGTTAAATTAACTGTTATTTTAATTAAATTAACGATGTATTGAATAGAAACAATGATGACTTATAGAGATTAAAAATACTCAAATTGAATATAGTTGACATTGTGAGTTTAACAGTGTAAATATTTTTTTACTACCATGTATACATATATATTATACAACAAAAACTCTATACAATTATTTTGCATTATTTCTCTGAAAAATGACAGTTTAAAAAGACATTGCATAAAATATTTAAATCCTATAGTACTTTGCTTTGAAATAAAATTCAAATTATTTATTAAATGTTTTTATATAAAGAGAGATAATTGTAAGTTAAATATAAAATTAGAGAATTTCAATACACAGCAATGTCTATCCAAAAGTAATGGAGAAAAGAACTTTAATGATTAGTTTTAAATTTAATATATCTCTTAAAACTAATGTTAGAAAAATATTTACAATTAGATATTTTTCTATTCATCTTATTTCGATATAATAATTCTTCTGTAATTCGTTATGTGATAATATTCTTTGACAAAGTGTATTGTGAATTAGATTCAATGCCATTTATATATTTGTAATTGCTAGTATTATTGATTAACATTCATTGCCATGTGGCATGGATAGCAGAAAATCACACATCTCTAATTTCTGTTTCACTGTGGCCTATAACATCAGGATCAAAAACGTCCTGGCGTCGCATTGTGCAACAAATCCTGTGAGTCTAATATTTACGATGCACTCCACGCGCAGCATCGTGATGTCACGTATACAATTGGCAGTTTCGTTATGTGATGCAATGTCTCTCAATCCCAAAACATCGCGACGATCTCAGAATGCTGTGTTTATCTTTCTCTCTCTCTCTCTCTCTCTCTCTCTCTCTCTCCCCCCCCCCCCTCTCTTCCTTTCTTCCCTTATCTATATTTGTCTACCTCTCTATCTCTATGTATGTGTGTTGCAATAAAGTAATCCGGATGCAACATAGAGAGTGAACGTTGTGCATTATTATTATAGAACGGAAATTATATTGTGTAAACTTCCGCAATATTACTAATTATGCTAATTAAATCTCAACACAGACATTTTCCATGCACTCTGAACAGATCATGTGACCAAGTATTATCTTTTTATGATTATTGTTTTCAATTTCATCAAAAATTTGAATTTTTTAATTTTACCTTTTTCATTAAATATATGACAAAAAAGAATTTGTTTACTTTGTGAACTTTTTTTTTTTCTTAGGATAACATTTGAGGCAAATAACAGCTGAATGAAGTTTAAGAGAACTTTTAATGATTATTTGGGGAAAATGTTTATCTTATGTCATTCTTTTTAAATTGTTCATATCTGTTATTTTAAATAAAAATTATAGTGGTACCAGTCTGTACATATCAAACATACAAATTCGTGAAAATGTCGCTTATATCATCATTGTTGCATAAAATTGACGGCGCGAGATTCTCATTTCGATACAATATCTACATTTCCGTCTGAGACGTACATTTGTCTAGAGAATGTAGCGCAACATACCTGCAGAAGATGAAGATCCATGCCAGTGTGTGGCGCGGCAACGGGAAACAAAGCGACTCCATGGTCGATCTTGAGCGGCTGCACGGGTTTGTAGGAGTCTAAATCAAGATGATAGTCATTCTCGTCGCATTCCTCCGCCATGTAGGTTTGCTCAATTGCAGTCGTGTGAACGCTCAGGGTGCGATGAAGGGAATCAGTAGTCGCGTCTCTGCCACGAGCATGTCGATGCTTAAAAAAATTATCCTTTGTTAAATTAAACCATATCCAACTGTTTAGGATACATATTTAGGATACATTGAAAGAAAGAAACATCCGTAGACAATAGTCGACAAGAGTCTTCTCTATATAAATACAATACAATTCATATTCATAGATTAGAATTCATGCAGATTAGAATTCTAATTATACTTTCATATATGTCGTATATTTTTATATGCATATATGTGTGTTATATATGTGTATTTAAATTTTTCAAATATTTTTCTTGTTATATAGCTTACAAAACTATAAATTCAATATAATTCTCTCATGTCAGATTGCAGAACAGAATTCTATTTTATAATTTTATATGTATGTCGTATATTTCTATATACAATACATATATTTTATGCATGTGCATTTAAATTTTTTAAATATTTTTCTTATTATACAGCGTATAGAATTATAAATTGAATTCTGGTGCGAAGATTATTTAAAGCAGGCTTACACTAATTATTTCAAGCAAACAAACTAGTTTCTAAAACTCGCACAAACATTTCAAACATCTATTTCTTTTCTTGCTTGTATTATGTAAAGCATAGTTAATGACGTTAAAAGTATTCATTAAGATTGCTCGATCTTTACATAGTTGACGCTCATTGATTGAATATGTCTTACCTTGTGAAAGAGCGCGACTTTGTCGAGAACGGAATTTGTATCGTGGACTGGTGCGATGGGGTTCTCCGGTTTGTTTAAGGAACCGCTCCTTGAACTCCATCCCGATGGCGTCTCTGTGTTACTCTCGACGGCGATCCTGGCGACCGGCGCAGAGGAAGGCACGTGTTCTTGAGGTTCGCTCTCCTTAATGCTAACACGTGGTGACTCGCGATTTTCCTTGAACTCGGGCTGAGGCTAAAACATATCGAGCCAACGATATTCTTTAAGAATCGTAGTTAAGTTTGTTATACAAGGGATTGTCCGTATTATGGAAAAGCTTCGATCTACTTCATGCTGTGATTCAATAATTATACAATGTAATTCAGAATAAATAAAGTATTAATGAAAATGTGATATACTCAGAGTAAATGGTTTCCATTTTCATAATATATTTTTTTTAGAGATATATGGAAAATTGCTGAAGCTAAATAACTGTTATTTTATAATAAACACGGACAGGGCAAAATGAATTAAATATTTTATTGTTGAAATAACTTTTTATTTTTATTAGCATGAAAAAGGAATATATACAATTTGTAAAAATAAATATTATAAAAAAAGCCACCAATTTAGCAGGTATTTTTTTAAAAGTGTTTAATTCGTTTTACTCTACTCACTCTCTAATTGTAAGTTTTACTTACAATATTTAGTTTTAAAAACTTCCTGATTGTCACTCTGTTCCAAATATTCAATTTTAAAAAAAGGTACACATTTTTATTTATTTTATTATGTGATTTTACTATGAGAAAATAAAAACAAAAAGAAGTTTAGGAAAAATAAAAATTCCTTGAAATTTTAACGGTTTGTTCAAAGTGACAATAATGGAATTAGCCTTTAATTTCGTATAATATAACATAACATTGACAAATACATAATTAGAATTGTAAAACTAAATACAAAACGACACACCAAATAAAATACGAATGAAAAGAGAAACACGATAATTCGATTTGCTTATTAAAGCGATTTGCATGCGAGACAGACACTTTATGAGATCACAAAATATATGACAAATAATATAAATAAAACATTATCTTAAATAATACGGAGTATAATGCGTATAAATTAATTGGTACCATTTCCGACGTAACATTATTGATAGAGCATGGAAATTCAGAAGAAATAAAACACTGTCAACTGTTGTTTCGAGTATATTACATTATTCCATGCGTACACCTCGAAAGAATACATTGTTTGTGACAAGATGCTCAATTTCAAAGATGTAGATTCGATAATCCGAGTAACGAAGTTGCCTTTGTTCCTCGAAGAGGAACTTGGCTTTCGAAATGGGAATCAATAGTTTACGGCTTGCTTTCGAAACGCAACCTCGAAATACACTCTGCCGTGTTCATCAACAGGAATATTGGATGGCCCTTTAAGTCTGTTAATGACTAGTAACATATAAAGAGCTCTCTCGCTAGTGTAAATCCCTCGACAGTCTCGTAAATATAAGTGGTTGGTAGAACCAAAGAAAGTGGAAAAATCGTGGTCTCATTTTTAATTTCTCGTGAAATTTCTTTGTCAGTACATTTTTACGTTTCTACAAAGTGTAGGGATGTGAAGTAATTTAATTAATGAATCAAATAGTATATTAAATGAGTCGAATTGTGCTTACAGCATTTTCTTGTGTACTATGGCTATAATTACTATCGGAAATGTACGTATAAAAATATCCCGAAATTTTAGTCCTACTTTGAATTCCTTTCAATCTCAATCAAACCTTATAAACCTGTTTTGATACTTGAACAATCAAATAGGGCCTCTTTTAATATTACTTAATTTACAGCTTTTATTTAGAAAACTTCTTTTGAACCTAAAAATAGGAAATAATTGCCATTTACAAGCTCAACGTAAGGACTCAATTCATTAGATTAGAAATTTATTATAAATCTCTAGAGTCTACGTCCTAAATACGTCCTAAAATTAAGATTCAAAGTAGGAGCAGAATTTCGACTCGAGATATTATTTATATATATTAGAATTAACAATATTAAAAAATTACGTCTTTAGTTTTTATAGCAAAGTTCTTAAGTCGCGTTAATGCAAAATATATATACAAGTAATCGCTCGAAAGCTCGTCTATCCGTAAGCTAGAGGTACGCTAGTAGCAAGAACTTTAATGCGGCTTATAATTAACTGTTATCCGATAACCTTAATCTATCGCATGGATATATATTGAGCGGTCGTTCCACGATGCAGCGTCATAAGGTAGCGCTGTTTCATTTTATCGCGCCGTGTTACACGCCGATCGACCCACCGTCAGACGGCATTCTAAAGCTGCTAAGTCGTGCTATCCAAATTGCAAAACGTGCTGAAATACGCGTTTACGAACATGTTGTCGGCAGAAAAATTTGGATATATCTTGATTGAGCTATTCGTGGAAAATAAATTATGTTCAGACATTAATTTAACGCTCTCGTGAAGTCGGTGACATCAATTTATTACATGATGGAATACGATATCACTTTTAACTCGAACTGTCGGCAAACGGGCAAAGCAAACAAGACGAGAGAATTAACAGTTGAAGAAGGGTCGAAGATATCTTGGGAAATATAACTCATAAAAATTTTACTTTAAGTAAGATTCATTTTAAAGGAGAAAGATGTTAATTTAGTCCTTGCTTGTTATAAAATAGGACATTATTTTTTATAAAAATTATCTTTTTATAAAAAAAAAAACTCTTCAAGTTAAAAGTAAGTAGGTTTATTCAGGTTAATTCTTTATATTTAAAAACGGATGAAAGTTGTTCTCTCCCATTTATTAGTTATTTAACTTGCATATACATTCTAATATACATTCTAAATATTTTTATACTTTTAATCAAGTCTCAGATTTAATTAAAATGTTCTAATTTGAAGTAACGGTGTAGAAGTAATGATGTAGACACAGGAAATACGATAACGTAGAGAGCGACAGTAATATTTGGTCTTTCGGAGTTTAAAGCTTGGAACCATCCGTGGCAGACGTGATGCCGGAACGAAGCAACTTTTGCGATTGCTTAACCTCGTTATCCTTCCTCTTCCTCCTTCTCCTTCATGGAAATGTACCCTAAAGAAAATACGTGCCGATGAGGGGGCGACTAGCAACACTCGGGATAACAGAATGACGCATATCGCAGGCTAAGTGTCGCATATCCAATGCGCTAGTGCCGATACTGATTTGGAATTCCATTTGCAAGCCGCGACATCCGCATCGTGGATACATTTGGTTTGACGGATTATACCTTCTAAAGAGAGAGAGGAAGAGAGAGAGAGAGAGAGAGGGGGGGGGGGGGGGGGGGGAGAAGGGTGGGGGGAAAGGGACAGTGTTAATGAGATATACCTACTAAGCCGCATCTTCGATAATCTCAAGGCAAAGCATATCATTTATTTTGCTCCCGTAATGTCAATTGATGTCGAATTCATTTGAATGTAATTAGCCATTGACACCCAGGAGATATGAACGCTCGGGACGTGAATGATCATATCGCACACTGATTAATCTCACGCTCTAGAAATTGAATATTCTATGTTTTTTATCAACGAGATGCACAATTATGAAAAATTTCTTCGAATTTACGTTATATATTCATGTATACACATTTATTTTGAAAAACATATAATCAACAATTTTGTTATTAGTAGATTAATAAGCAGATTATATCTTTTTATGGCATACTATAGTTTTTATTCTGACTACAGTTTTATTTGTCTAACATAGTGATTACGAATATAGATAAAATTTAAATATAAAATAGATATTAAAATGTATATAACTTAAACATTAAATGTACGTAAATCTACTAACGTAACATTAAACGTACATAATGAGATTATTAATTAATATAATTAATTAAAAATTACATAAATAAAATAAATATTATATTCATTAACCCATCTTCAAATATAATTCTCGTTAGAATTCACAGATTGATGTATTTTCATGTATATACTTATTTTAATGTATATCTTAGTCTAAATTTATCAAATATTTTTCGTATTATATGTACATCAAATTATAAACAGATTTCTATCTTGAATTCTAACAGAAATTATATTATAACAGTAAGTTTTATTTTAATAAATGTTACAAAGTTCATTCACACACACGTACACATTCTTATTTCCCTTTCTCGAAATAAACGCTTCACGTCGCGACTTCGTGATGCTATGCCACATAAACCGAGAGAGAGAGTCTAATCACAAATTCGTGGTGCTGATCACGTGCTTGGTTTTAATGACCAGCGACTTTGTGGATTTTGTCGTGCAATTTGAGTTTCAAAAGAGCCGCTCTTAGAAGCACTGATTTCCGTTGCGGTCTTTCGAACATGCTCTTAAACATCAAATAACGTGACGTTGTAAAAACTGTAAAAAGCAAGGAAGACGCCGTTTTGTTCCCCGATGACGATCGTTAGCGACAAGAGCAAGTAGTTTCCGCCGGCCTACAACCATCGTAGCTGCTGGAGGCCGATAGAAACCCCTTTCCTTGTCGCTTTTACGGCGCAGACTTCGCTTCGGTACTCTTCTGCTACGCTGCTATTCTTCGTGAAACTTCATAGAAGAATTTCGATGCGCAGTTCCCGGCGTTTGCGCTCGAAATGATACTACTTAAAACGCAAATTGTTCCTCTTCTATAATTTTCAAGGATTAATCCGATTTCTCACGTCAATTGTAACAGTTTGTGTGAAGTTGACAAACACTTCCATGAATAAATCTATGTTAAGAATGTATATACTTGGAAGATTTAATTTTCCTGATTTAATGCGTTTTTACTCCGGCATTCAGTATCATCTTAAGATAGTCTTCTCGGGTAAAACTTTCGTAAACTTGGATGCGCATTTCTAAGTTTTGACATAAGTTTTTTTATTTGCTCTAATTTCTTATTAAGGTTTTCCTTCTTCAAATAAATTTGCCGCAACGCCAAACTTCTCGCTATCTTTTGAATATGCAGTTGTTGAAGGAACAAAGTAGATTTATCGTGTCACTGACCGTCCTTCCCTCGATTACTCTCGGCAAGCCTGTTTCGTGATGCGATCATGAGAGACATGTTGGATATCCCCGATGAACTTTTTTGGCTGTTTGCCAAAACGCGAAAGCGTTCAATTACTTATGGGCTTTCTCTCCGACTTAGCTTTTCTCTCGTTGTATCATGTTCCACACACTTAAACATCAGTTAGAGAGATAGACTTACTTGACGAAACGTTAAGTTACATTATCCTATCTAAATAACCAGTCTTTTGCTCGACGCACGTACATATTTTGGCTCTTATCTGACGTTGACAGTGATCTTCATAGTAGACAGGGATAATGCTCCAGAAAGTTGAAGGGAAGGCGAAGAAGCGGGCGCTGACGTGTAATATTTAATAGTGTTTACATGGTGAAATATAAATGAAATGCCAATTTAATCTCTATTTAATAACGTGGAACAATCAATTCTACGCATGCAAACATTTTCTTAGAAATTCAAAGTCTACAAAAAAACACGATATCGCATGAGCGATAGTAGTGGCGCTTTTCGTGTTTACCTTTATATCGCACGCGATAACTTCCCGCAGCTCGCGCAGGAAAGCCCCGAAGAATGGTACCACTGGGCATTCCGGCATCGCGAGAGCGCGAGCAAGCGCATGTTCATATTCGGAAGACAAAAGGGCAGAGGAGAGATACTCCATGACCGGGAAGCGCTCGTTCATGCCTCGTTCTTGCCAAATCGGCTTCAGTTTATTGGATCTGCAACATAAGCAACAATTCGTTCGCGATTAGACGAGGTAGACATACTTCTTCGGATATACGTAATTAAGAAGTAAACCGCTGACAGAAATTCGCACACTCCAAGTTAATGCGTGGCGACGCGTTTAGAGTGTTAAGAGGTTAATACTATTTTAGTATTCTAATACTCTTCTGGTAACTAATAATGTTTCAATAGTACTCTTTTTAGTTATTAATAATTTCAGTTATATTTTTATTTTAATCTCTAGTACATATGATTGAGGCTACGGTCCACTTGATACTACAAAAGCTTCGAAATATTTTTTGATTGAGCAATTAATAAAATTCTTTCTTTCGCTTGGTCAATCAAAAGCTTCGAAACATTTGTAGCGTTAAGTGGACCGCACCCTGAGTCTTTCACGTCCCGTATATTTCCTTTTTTTTAAATACTGGAAACACTTCCCGAATAGCACAGAGAGTTCAAAAGAATTAAAAAAAAAGAATTCAATCAAATGTCATAAATTCTGAGCTCATTTTCAAATGCAACAAGAATTCTTCTCAGAAAAAGGATTCTTTTTGCATTTGAAAATGAATTCAAAATTGATGACATATCACTGAATTCTTTTGGAACTCTTTGTGCTATCTGGGTTTACAGTTACTTTCTAACATTGTTAAAGTATATGTAAGAATCGCTTAATCATTTTTATATAGGAAAGTGATAAAATTAATTTGGAATATGATCGATTCATATGTAGTAGGACCGGAAAATAATCGTGTGCTAGGTTAATTGACTGATTACGAAATGCATAAATATAATTTATTGAGTAGACTTTAAGTCAAAAGCTTAAAGTACTTAGTAAGTTAAAGATTATGTACTTAAAAGAGGATTTAATACTTTAATGTATATAATAATCTAAATTGTAACATTTGGTAATTCCTACTAATATCTTACCGTGTACACTAACTTTATATATGGTGATTTACTCTATACGTGCAGAATTATTAAGCTTAATTTTAACTAAAGTAAATTTCAGAAGCTGCTAATGTTAAAGGCGTGGACTCAAATATCAAATTAATTTAGAAAGTTTTGATATTTTAGATAAAACATGAAATTTCTGTCTTTGAAACACAGTTACATAATTTAAAATTACGAGTTTGTTTAACCTTTTAAGATCTGAATTTTTTGAGAAATAGGACATTGCTCTAAAAAAAAATTCTAAAATATTTATTTAGTTCAAAATTAGACTTAAAGTTACACACATCTATTCTTTCCATAAATGGAAAAATTGTTTAGCAATTAGAAATTTAATATCTTTTAAATTTTCTTACATTTAACGTGTGAAATGTGAAAGGTTTAGAGATACGAGAAAAAGTTGGATAAATAATTACAATTTAGCGTCGTGAGCGCAGCAAGATGCAATTAATACGATTAAATTGAGTTGTCGCCAATATCTGCATGAAACAGTCATGTTCACGCTTCTTGCAAATACGTTTCCTCTGTTTCGTGTTCTAATGGTCGTTAAAATCATGAAACATTTACCATTACAGCGTTAATTATCTATCTCTTTCAGTATTCTCCATAGTACAACCCGAATGCTTTAGCTGAGAATGTTTCCGAGTGTGTGACGTCAGCAGGCGCAACGTTCTAGAAACGATCGCTCTAGAAACGATATTCCCGCACGAAACTTTTATCCTCTCATTCGCGGGACGAGTACAAGGGGACGGTGTCTAACTTTACAGTCTTGGCAATAAAAAGTATTTTATTTCTACGTTGGGGATTTCCGATGGGGACAGGCGGTAAAGGTTCTCCGCTGTGCCACTTATGGCGAAATTCATTCGTTTCGCGGAACATAAAAAGAAGAGCATGGATGGTTAATGACGAGTGCCGTTATCCGCAAGAAGCGATAACCAAATGGCGGATTAGCAGAGTAGAACGTAAACAGAAAATTTCTCTTATAAATAAGTGATATTATGTTTGCCGATACGATTTCCCTCATCATTTCCGGGTCATCGATCAAATGGACGATACTTATGGCTTTTTTATTAGTTGGTTGCTATCGATTTGAATATATAATGTATTTGCACTACGCGTTAAAAATTACAGTAATACCACAGTACAAAGATCGATTAATAGTTTTTTCAATGATAGGAGCAGAGACGCGGAAGTCAACGGTAGAGGCAGAAAGGGGGAAGTCAATTTTGAACTCTTCAAGCGGAAGTGAAGTTCGATCCTTTTCTACTTCATATTTCCTCTCCTCTATGAGAATAAGTTTCTGAGATGTTCTCGGAGACGTTTTTCCCTATTTAAATGTGCACGTGCAACATCGATCAGGATTTCCAAGTAGAGATTTTCAACGTAGTTTTCAAGTTGGCAAGAAATCCTTTAATAAAGTATTCTCCTTTTTAGACCCTGATAGATTACAAAAAGCCCGCACTTCATGCGGAAATCTCTTTTTTTTATTTCTTTTTCCCCAAAGCACAAACAACAGTATTAAGTCAATAAGCGTCAGCTTTTTGCAAGTGGATAGATAGCCAATAGAATGCTTTCATACCGTATAACGCAGCAAAGATGTAAATTAGAACTGAAATGCAAACGAGAAATTTGTGTTATTTCACTCGTAAACAAATTTATGGGCAAAATTTTGATAAAAAAATCATACCACTTTGATTTCAGCATATATATACATATGTACATATATACATATATATATATATATATATATATATATATACGGCAGTTAAAAATCAAATTTTCCATTGTCAATTTCTTTCACAGCGATGTAAAAATGTTGCGAATTGTTCCTTGATACATTAAAAGTCCATCATGTAAATGCCGCTTTATTTTTTTCTTTTTTGAGTTTCTCTCGTGTCGAGAGAGAATTAATTATCAAACAGGAAAGAAAACAATTTTACGGACGAATAACGCGCGAATCGCCGTCGTACTTCTTGATCTCTGTGAAAATTAATGACACACATTCATTACTTGAATTACTTTTCAACGGGAGATTATCTCACTCCCTCGCGAGGGATCGAGTTGAAAGAGGTCGCAGTCCCGAAAGAACTCGTGAAATAATGCGATTACGCCATTGTTGAATCGTTTCGGGAAATGGGTAGAGCATCGAGTCGAGAGATATTTGCAGAATGAGCTACGTGTCGTGACACTCGATAAAACTTTCATGAGGAGCTCTTAATAAAGCAAAGTACCATGGAAGCCACTCTGTCTTGTAATAAGACACGCGATAGGAATCCTACAAGATATATCTCTGTATTTAATATACATTAGGCTTGCCTGAGTTTTTCAAAAGAATTGGAATTCTCGATTTAATTAATTAATCATCTGACATGAAGTGATTGTTGCATTTTTGTTCAATTCTATATATAAATAACGCATCCTATATTTTTTCTTATGGCATATTTTTTTGACGAATTTAGGATCTTGATTTTGATTGTCTGATAATTTTACGATTTATTACCATTTTGGATTGAGATGGATTAAAAATATCAAAATATCCAATATTCTTATCTTACTTTAAATTATTTTAACATTCTGAAGTTTACTTATTATTGTCAGAGTACAATAATAAAAAGAATTAAATTTAATAATATGAATCTCTCATTTTTTAACTTGTTAAATTTTTTAAAAGTTTATAATTGAAAATATTAAAGCAATTGTCATTTTTTAAAACAATAGTAATTCTCATTAAATATCTACAATTTATTGGTAACAATCGTGTACGTAATTAACATAATCAATTTACACATGTAAATTGCCGATCTCTTTTATAATTTAGCAAATAGTGTAAGCGCTTCTTGTTTTGTAGTTTCATGGTAATGCACTGGATGTTATCTCAAGATAAAACATACGATGCATGAGACAACAAGATGAAGAAGCAGAAACACGCCCGGAAGCAGGTCGTTACCGCGCATAACGTTTATGCCTCAGCCATAGTAGAGGGAATCTAGTATAAGTATTTCAATCAACTGGCGAGCGTTTTTTGAAATCTAAGTATTTTTGCAACATATTTAGCAGAAATGCATAAAGAAATTACATGCAATGATTATATTTTGTTCAAGTTTAAATTTATTTATGTATACGAGTTAGGTGTAATAATATTATTTTTGAGAGAAAGCGACAACATTATTATTCAAAATTAAATAAATTGAAGCAACACGAGAAATCAATTTCCAAATTAGTATATTTTCGATTATTAATAAAATATGGTAATTAAGGTAATATATATAATATTTAATTTTAACGATGCACTTGACATCGAAAAAAAGATGACGCGAAAATCTAACAAAGACAATATTCAGAGAGAGCAATTAGCGTTTCTCTCTTCAAGTCAAATTCGCACAGATCGTTTGAAGGACACTTACTCGACCCTAATAACCATCCTTCTTTTGAGATGAAAGCATCTTCACGGAAAATCTGTAGTCGAATCCTGACTGTCACGATCGTTTGGAAGCCTGACAAGTGGACAAAGCATCTTTGATCTCTCACTCGTCGTAAATTCCAGATATGCGATCGCGAAAATGTCAAAGATCTTTCTACGTTTGGAAAGTATTATTTTTCAAAGATTTTTTAAATTTCTATTGTCAAAATTGGATTTTGTCCAATGAGGTCTAATTACGGAAGATATAAAGACTTGATATTTATTGTTGAATAGTTTTTGATCTGTTATTGGAGAGGAAATGTTTCTTCGGTTGCTACTTAGGACACGAATTCAACGCAAAGAAATCCTCTTGTGTAATCGTATTAAGTATAGTTTGATCCGATTCTCGAAGATATCGCGAAGTTTTTATCGATAAAACTTTGAGACGTAACATCATATTCGATTACAGTTAAATTGATTTCTTTACTTACGTTAATAAAATAAAACACCTGTCTTAACGTATATTTTGACAAACTTGAAATCAATCAAATTAATTAAACAAATTATATTAAAATATAAATTCAAAATGAAATTTTCTTTAATATAATGATTTTTCTTGAAACGTATTTTTAAATATTCTATTGCGATGAGAACATCCAGTTTAAATCCTTACATTTTTCTATAACTTGATTAATTAATCATACATTAGTCTTATAAATTTGTTAATTGATTACACTTTTAAATGTCATAAATCTTTAAAAAATGAAACAAATTAAAATTTAAAATTTTGTTAGTATTAATATACACATAATTGAATACTTATACAATTAAAATTAAACCGTGATATAAAAACAAGTGTCAGAATTGCAATGCAAATATATGTATATTTTCAATATTTTCATATATTTTCATTTTCAATTACAATAAACAGTTTTATCATGACGCTTTTGTATATCTTTTAAAGCAATTTGTAGAGTTAATCTCTGAAGTCAATCTTTAATTGAGTATTAAGCTATAATATTTTGAACTCTCTAGAGTGCAATTTTATAATTTATTAAAATATTACGTTCAAAGACATAAAACAACTCTTTATATACGTGTAGACTATATATATACGTGTAAATATAATTTACACATACACAAAAACACACACACACACACACAAAGAATTCATTTGCGTGTTATTAATCTTGTTTTATCTTGTTATCTTGTTTGCAAAAAATAATTGTTCTAATATTTTTTAGTTCTAAGGATGTTTAATTCTTATTTGTGCTAAATCACTTTGGATGCACTTTTAATAGGTTTCATCTGACTTTGCATGAATGGCCAACGGTCATCACAACAAGATAAACTAAGTACAAAGTTTCTTTAATTTGTGATCGATCAAAGATATACTTTTGAGGTTAAATATTCTTTGTTTTCTATGATTTTTATTCATAGTTAATACAGTAGTGAAGTTCGATGTACGTATAAATATTTAAAAGTACTTTTCGTGTTCGAAATAATAAACTCGAATAAAAGCTCGAACTCCATTGTCTCAATGTAGAGAAATATATTATAATTTCAAGAGTCCTTTATTCCAACAGATGAAGATTAATTGTGTAAGCACGACCTTGGAAGTCGCAATGTCATGCAACAAACGCGAGGAAAGTTTCAAGGAAGCCTTGAATTCGTATTAGTGTCGCAATCTCGTTGGGGATTATACAATTCGCAAATCCCTACTGGGATGTACGAGACTATTTTCGCAATTTGTATAAATTTTTAATTTTTTTTCATTTAAAATTTATTGAAAATACATTTTTTTCTCATTAAATAATGTGCATGTATAAAATCTGTCAAAAATGATTAATGACTTGACGTCATCGTGTAAAAGTTCTATACATACAAATTAAGAATACCAAATTAGCTTATTTAACGAGTAAATGTAGTTCGTTTGAGTTTTCTAATAATTCTAATTCGTTAATCTGTGAGATTAGTCAATTATATAATTGACAATAATACAAAATTATAGTTACGCGTATATAGAGGCGGCACTAGTATCGACGGCGGCAGCTGAGTCTCTAATCCGATCGAAACTCGAAACCGATGAGATACGTGTTGCGGTTGTCTTTCGTAATGATCTATTGGTGCTGACAACAACTTTGTTCTGCGGTTAGATGCTTATGGTGGATGAAGATGGATGGGCTTTCGTAATTTTGCGGCAGGACTACTAAGAAATTATATTACGACTTTCGTACTTAGTCGAAACAATGCGGGTTACTTGACTTATGGATAGTAATAAAGCGAGTGCGCTTACAAGAAGTGGAAGGCAGCAATTCGAGGATTGACCTTTTAAGTAGGGGGACTTGGCGCCGTCACGCGTTTACGACAAGCATTATGGGTACTTACTTCAGACCGGCAATTATCTCCATAGCTGAATTAAAGTTTCCGGTATTCCAACAGGTTAGCGCGACGCGTAGAAGACAGGACAGCACTGCCTGTCGTTCTTCTACCGTGGCACAGCTGCTGATCGCGTGGGTGGCCCATGAGCTTACCTGATTAACACAAACACGATTAATGATTACTTCATTTGCAAATCGCCAACGCTCTTTACGTATATCAGAATGCGGATTTCGATGTCGTTGAACTGAAAACCACAATGTATGTTTCCGACAAGTCTACATAGAATTTATTCTTATAATTATAATTAGAATCCGACCGAAACTTTTATCAAAACTGAAAACGAACGCTTATTACGTGTCAGTTTCGACTGAAACCATGTAGCTCTTCTTCATAAATATTAATTTTAATGTACGTAATTATTGTTTCAATAATTAAATTACGATGTTTATGAAGAAGAAGTAATTATATTCTTTGGTCAAAATTGACACACACCGAAATTTCGGTTTTCGATTTCGGTCGAAATTTAATTATTGTTTCAATGAATTATGATATTTATGAAGAAAAAGTATATGATACATGTCTGTATATAAGGTTTCGGTTGAAATTGACATGTAGCCGAGTGTTTCGGTTCAGTTTCGATCAAAAAGTTTCGGTCAAACTCTAATTATAATTTGTTTATAATGTAATTGTATTTATTCCTATAGAACGACTAATATTTCATTTTTTTTATTTAACACAAAAAAGTTGTAAGATATGAGATTTATCACAATTATTATAAGTAAAATGGAAGTTTGGAACTAAGAAAACTTGTCAAATGCGGATGAGATATATTTAGCGATGTAAAAAGTATATCAATTAAAACATTAAACATTCACAATGTTCCAAACTTCGGTCATTTTATTCATAATTAATAATTAATAAACCTAATAGATCTCATATCTTATTGCTATTATTGACTTTTTTATATTTAATCGAAAAGATGAAAGGTGAGTTGCTTTCTTACACTATCGACTTTTATTTATGCTTCGCAATTCGAGTCTTACATTTTATGCAAACAAAATGGAAGTTATCCTATTGTAAGATAATTGCGGAACATTGCAGTTATTCATAAGAAATGACTAGAATTTTCCAACACTATCCGAGGCTTCTGTTTAACACGATGATAAAAAGAACAATGTGGGAACGAAGGGATAGAGAATCCAATGTTTCCAACCTTGAGCGAAGATTTAGAGTGGGAAATGGCAGTAGGGATGGCGGAAACGACTAAGCGAGGTCAGGTGATATTCGTACGTGTATACATATATATGTATATGTACATATGTGAGTAAAGTGAGTGAAAGTGTCTGGCGAAAACGTACGGAAAGCCGCTGGAGAAGTGGATACCTCATTAAAAGCGGCTGATGAGAGTTTCCACGGGATTAAAAACCGAGAGGTTTCTTGGCGTAGAGCTTTTTCCTCCACGATGGAGGATTCACGTCTATTATCATCTTCGGTACAATTATTTTTCTTCTTATTTACATAAAATAATAATACCTCTTTGTTGATTAGAAATAGTAATCTAAGGAACCCGTCTGTAGCATTTCGTAATTGTAATCAAAAGACATCTACGTGCCTTTGAAAAATGCAAATACAGGAGGAAGAATTAATGTACCTCATTGAAACGATCAATGAGGATCTGCACGGTGGAGTACACCGTGGCAACAGGCCAGGATAATTCGTCCTCAGTTTGGGTCGAGCTGTTGGTGGTGCTGGGGTTGCTGCAGCTGCGACTCGGCGACGGGGGTGGCCTGGCAGGTGGTTTTTGCAACGTGGTTTGATCCTGTGCCACGTGCCTCAGGTACTCGTGCGGTGGTACCTGGTAGAATAGATGGTACTCGCTTTCCGTCAACCTGAGCGCCACCTCCTCGGGGAAGTGCAGCAGCTTATGCAGATCCTCCAGCTCCTCAGAGCTCCGAGGCGGCTGCGGCTGCGGCCGCTTCTCCAGCTCTGAAAATTATTTTCAAATTCATTACATTACAATGAGAAATTATAAACTATAACACAAATATGTTTTTTATAGACTCCTTTAATTTAGAAATATATGAACAATTTAGAAATATATGATAATAATATAAAGTACAAGTGATAGGAGTCAACGCTGGTTATCAATTAGCTCAATTCTTAATATTAAATATATATAAACCTTGATCTTGAACGTTTCTACTCATGGTTTGAGTCTTCATCAGCAATCTTTCCCTCTAACACAACGGTTGGATTATTGCATTACAAAATAATATCTCCAACGTTTTTCTTCTCAAAAAATTGAACCGTTAACTGTTGTGAGGTAAGTCACATATTCACAAAGTTAGAAAGCTGAGTGGCAATGAGAACTCAAGCTAAAATTATATAAATTATTAAATTATCGTATGTATAAATTTGAAAATTAATAATCACCTCACCTTACACAGTCGATGCCTCAACACTGAACAATAAATATATCATATGCAACATTTTGTACATCGTTAATAAGTTAAAAATTATCATCAAAATAAAAAAAATTAAATTTTAAAATACTAACTGAGAGAACAATTTGTCTTGTCATTTCGACTGTCGATTGAATAATGATTGCTAAACAAGTAACATAGTGGTCAATTTGAAGATAAGCAAATTACAGTTTATGACATGTATTATATTACGAACAATCTTACAGTTTATTAAGAATCTCAGTGTAAGCATGATTTAAGACAACGATATCATGTTGTAAATTTAGTCCGTAGATTATAGAATGTGCATCTCCGATATCAATCGTTTATTATAATAATTCTTCACATCCAGAATCTCCACATTTTGCCAATCAAAGTCGTGATCGTTTTGCAACCTATAATCTGTAATCACCGAATGAGTGGATGTTTGACTACGGATATGCTTTTGGTGTTCAGAAAGTCTAGTTTTTAATTTCCTCCCTGTTTGTTTCACATAGGAAGCATCACAATCACAACAACAACAATTAATCTTGTAGAATACATTCATTACATCACATTACATTACATTACATTGTCATTACACATTTAATATAACTATAGTATAATATGGAGAAAAAAATAAACAGAAAAAGAAAGAGAGAGGGGAATGTGACAATAAAGTTTTATCGAAGACAGAATAGAATGTTATTTTCTGTTATAATAAATTTTTTTACATGCGTATTATCATATTTTGATAATGTTAAAATTAAAGCTTTCGAAAGTATAATAGACTTTAAAATTTTTTAAAGTTTGTTAAAGTTTAACAAACTTTCAAGTTTTTTTAAAGTTTAATATTTTGATATAAGACATGTACTATTTATTACGTTCTATATTATAGATATAAATCCGTGCGTTATATATAGATATGTATAATTTATATTTATATGTATTTTTTTATGTTTAACATATAGCATTTTTTAAATTTTATGCAATGTAGCTTATGCAATCTAAAGTTTAATCAAGAAGAAATTTCTATAATCAATGCTTTAATATAACATATTATTGAAGGATTGCATGAATTTAGCTTCAATATTTACTAATAGCAAAGATAATAAAAATACAAATATAAGAAATACAAATGTAAGAAGAAAATAAAAATGTAAGAAGTTATATTATATTAAAAAAGTTATTTATTATATTAACACAGAAATGGATGATAAAAAATAAAACATTTGTGTAAGTTTCTTTTAAAATGATATCGCGATTCTTTTGTGCACGAAATATTACGATAACTGCATATTATTATGTATATTTTTTAAAAGTATTGTATGATATATCGTGTCGTAAAAATCTTGATATAGATAATTTTGTTTAAATCTTGATATAGATAATTTTCGGTCGTGAGCTAATTGTCGACAAATGCATTATTTGTTGATTATTTAAATCGATAAATATTGTGGAAAAACCGATAGCGTACTCATATATTCAGATAAATGTTTTGGAGCTTTGAGTACAAAAATTAATTAATTTATTTTGACAATTACAAAAATACAGTATATTTGATAAAAATATTCGTTTTCTCTTCTTTTATTTATAATATTCATTTATAATATTATTTTCGTATAATATTATTTTCGGCGTAGTTATTTTGAATACGATTATATCAAAATTTATATACGCGTTGTAATCAGGTCGCGCCTAATGAACCATGATAATCTTCATATTCAATTACATTTGATTTCGATATTAACACAATATTTATTAAATCGCCCGAATTATGAATTAAATATGTGCAAATTCGAAATGAAGTTTACAGATGATTAATGATATGTATTTGCTCAATTTATATTTTGTGACCGTACGTTTAAAGACCGCGTCGCCAGCAATTGACGTTTCCAACGTGCCAGTTTACAAAAGAAATACAGTGCAATTTTTGCCCATCGTTTAACATTTGCTGCGTAAAAAGGTCAGCTCGATGGTTTTTTGCTAGTGCGAGTGATGCACGAAATTCAACGCGACCGTCGAATAAAAGTGTCTTTTAGGTCTTCGATGAATAATTCTGCGCTGTGGGTATCATTGATGCTGAAGTAAAAACATAGTTCACGGTATTTTATATTTCGACATCCGGTACGAAGTACTAGGGACCGTGAAATATAAACCGAAAAAATATTATACGTTTGTGTAATCAAAGAGGTTTAGAAAATAGAATTGCAAATGTATTATTAGAAAATATTGAATTGTTTTTTTTTAAAGAAAGAAGTGAGACTTGACATAAATGATAAGTATATATATCTTTTCCATCGAAAATGAAACATTTAGTTTATAGAAAAGGATGATTTTTTGGTGAAATATTTTTTTTCCACAGCTAGATTATACAGATTTAAAAATAATTTTGTTGGATTATCAAAATAATTAGGAAATTCAAGTACGAAAGTTTTGCAGTATTGTTTGTAACACTTTCTAATCAGTTTGAGCATCTTAATTATTTTGATATTTAAAATAAAAATTATTTTACATATAGACATATTATTTCAAAATCTAACTTTGACCGTAATTGCCATTTCTCTTATTTAGTTATTTTGATAATTAAACAAAATTATTTTCAGATTTAGTTGTAAATTTTTAAATACTCCATCAAAATCGTTTTTCCATATAAATTGAATGTTTCATCTTCAATGAAAAAAATTATTTAATTAACCATCTACCTTATTTGAGAGAACAATTATTCACTATTTACTAATAATAATGCATTTGCAGTCCCATTTTCTAAACTTTTTTAACAGATCTGTATTTAGCTTAATTTTTTAAATAAATTCTGTGCGCGCAGAAAATCATCTTTTTCGTGTAGGATATTGTAAAAGTTAAGTATGAAACATATGCGTGAAATCGCCGGCAACTTTTAAATCTGACCCAGTTTCCTTAGAAACGATTAAGAACGCTGCGTCTCGTTAAAATCGAGTACGACATGGTGTGCTTATTATAAGATAGCGCAAAATTATTGTGAGTGCATTCATTCGTAGCGACATTCATAAGATGCTATGGAATAATTCAAGGTATCTCGAATATTGCGAGCTTCGACGTACTTGCCTGTGGCAGCAGAATAATGGAAGAACGTGTTATATATTCTTTTTCTTTCTTCTCCTTTCTCGTTGCTGATAGTTATTTTTACAGTATCTGCAACCTGATCATCACCCACGCATATTTTGTTGAACTTGAAAACTATTTCGGGCTGCCACATAATTTTTGTATTCTCGTGATGTAGCGTGAAAAACATTTTTTTCAATTACTTGGCTTTCACGTTATTTGAAAAAAATGATTTTTAAAAAATTTAATTCACAGCAGATTGTACTTTCATTTCGTTATAAGCACTGTGCCTTCGAAATTAAAACGCGAGTTGAGATATATAACGCAAGATAGAAGGTTTAGGACAAAATTTCACATTTGTCGATATTTCGTTATAGTTTAAATACGAATGTAAGCGGAATCTAATATCCGTGCGGCTAATTTATCAGTAGGCCGGCGACCAAAATGAGAAAAAGAATTTCATCATCGTGAAATATCCCAAACTACATAGTCATGTCTTTTTGAAATTTCTCTATAATAACGAATGCAATGCGCATAATGTAAACGGATGTTACAAGTCAAAAGAGATCTTAGTTCAGAAAATTTGAATACGAAATATCCAGAAGTAATGCTTCATTTCAACATCGAGCTTCATTCCTATTTCTCTCTTTCAGACCGAGAAGCGAAACTATTCAATGGAAACCCTTTACGAGTGCGTCTCGCAAATATCCCGTAATTACTCCGGGCGGAATTTATGACCGCCTTACGCAGAGCTTACCAAGATAAGTAGGACGGCTTTCTATCGTAACGTTTCTAACCCACCGAGACGTAATTTCTCGTACAATGTTTGCGGTGTGCATACATCTTAAATGGAGTAATTGCCGATATCGCGATACGATAAGTGTTCTTGTTTCTGCGTGCATTGCTCTTATGCAGAGTGATTATCATGTAATGAATCGTGCGGGAGCGGGATGGACTTGTTCTGCATATATAAACTCGTCCATCAACGTCTTCGAACAAACGGTCTGTTAAAGATCTTCAACCACCGTGCAAACACGTACCGAGTGTGGACAGAGTGGCCGGTTAAACCTTGGCATGCCCCGGCGTGCTCGTAGTCAATTGGCGAACCTTATCAGATAATAGCGCGATAACTCGATGAAGAGATTAATCAACATATCGGATTATGAACGTAAATGGCTCCTGCATAATTGCAACGTACATCGATAATATCTTGTTTGTGAATCAATCGCTTTGAACTTAACGAGATAATGTCTATGCTTCTGCAGTTCCACGTAGCGTACAGTATTGAGAAATTCGTGAACAAAATTAAATAAAACTGTCTATAACACGTACTTTTATCGATATTTTTATATATTTATTTATAGTTTGTTGTATTTCTACAATATTTGCATTTCTTCTGCTATCGGAATCGATCTTATGTGACAAACGTTCCAGCACTTCCAACATTCTAAATATATAAATATATAGATTGACGTATGATATATACAGGAATTATAAAACTTTTAAAAGTTCTCCTTTAAGTTTTTCTTTAAGTAATCTCATCCTCTATTATAAATTTATCCACTATTTAATTTATAAACAATTATTTATATTAATGAGCATAATGTTTGCAATTATATACTTAATAAGAGGATAAAAATTTGAATTATATAATATATTGTTTTTTAATTTAGGATAACACCAAAAAATGTAATGGATAATATTTCGACATAAGAACCGTGTAAATTAGATTAATGATTATCATGGAATAAATCCTTCAGTTTTTAATTGGTGTTTGTTACACGAGTGTAAATATTTGCCCCAGAAATCTATGCAGTTTCGATAAAGACTTACCTTATCAGATGATGGTGCGGCCACGTGGGGTGGAGGAAGTGGAAGTGGCTGGGTCTGTTGCCGTCGACGAGGATGAGACAGCTCGCTGCTCTGTGAAATAGCCAGGGCCCGCCGGTAGAATTAGTCTGACGACCAGGCCGAATGATTCCCGCGTAGTTTCGCGGTCTGCATCAGGACGGCTCCATCGATATAAAGTCGATCGAGAAGCCCCTCTCACGCCTTCCTCCACTGAGTTGCTTCCTCCGTTGTCGTCGTTGTCCTGACGTTACTTCTCAGGCCCGGCAACGCGCTGACCGCGATCTGCGAAAGAGAGAAGTATAAGAGAAGCTCGAAGTCGAGAGACTTGGATTTATTATCGAAAGAAAGAGAGAAGAGAACCGGGAAAGCGATTCGAGCAAGGACATTGAGAGAGCGAACGATTTATAGTCTTTCGAAGGACCTAAAGTCTACCGAAATCCATTCGAGTGCACTTCGTGTCTTGTCTTTCTGCACGTTCTCAGAAGCGAGATCTTTTTCTCACGGACTCGTGCGGATAAATTTATCACAGGGATTTTTTGTAAAGTATCGGTTAATCAACTTATCGTGAATCGCAAATCAATATATTTACAATTGGAAGTTGCGTTGACATACTTTAGAAACAATTTATAAGAGAAACATACACAGATAAAAAACATAGATAAAATTTTTTTTTTAAAGTACTTCTAGAGTTTTTTAATAGTCATTATATATAATAGTTGAAAAAAGCATTGGAAATCTTATCCAGATTTAGATAGCTATTTTTTTAGCACATTTACTGTAAAAAAGAAAAAGAGAGAAAAATATACATATATATTAAAGTTAATTAAACAGATTATTAAAAGTATTAGTTTTTTATATTATAATATGTACGTTCATATATATATATAAATAAAATGTGTATATACATATACATACATATATACTTAAATATAAAAGCTTTTAAAGCTGATATATTCATAGTCGATACTTATTTCAAGACATATTAAGTATGTCTTACCGTTTCTAAAATAACCATCTTAAGATGTTAATACTCTGTGATTGGTTTATGATATTTTAAAACTATATTTAAGATAGTCTTAAATATATAGATTGACTATAAATTCTAACCAAAATATCTATAAATATATTTGTAAATATACAATATATGTTTAAATATTCTCTCTCTTATAAATCAAATTCATGCATCAATATCGAAATTTCTTATTAAGTATAATATATTTCAAAACGTTAACAAACGTTACAAAAGAGAAAATCGATTAAAAATTAACCAAGTAATCAATGGAATTAGGAATATAAATATAATCGCATTGCATATTTTGACATTATTAGGAGATATTTCCTAATTATTTTTCTAATATTCTTTTTTCTAATATTAGGAGAGATTTCCTAATTATTTTTAAAAATTAACAGTTAGAATAATGATTAAATACTTGAAGTAATATTTACTTCGCTCTGTATATTATTTTATGTCAGAGAACAAAAGATCGGTAAACCATGTTGAAAGAATGATGCTTCGTTTTAGAGAAAGAACGTCACGAATGTCTAGTACTAAAGAGAAACCTAAAGAACAAAAAGAAACGTAGTGAATGGAGATGGCATAGGAGTGTTCCTTGTTTTTGTTAAAATGAACTGGCTTCAAGTTCAATTCGTATTGTTGTAAAGCAGCAGGGATTCGCGTGCGCTTCTATCAAGATAGAAGTTCATTTACGGTCTACTCAACCGATGGATGCTTTTATACAATTTCCTCTTTTCCATTATTTAATCAAGCGCAAACAGAAAGACGGCATTGTGTCATATGGAAATATTCTAATATATTTAAAATTCTTGTAAATTTCACGTACACATAATTTTACATTTTATTGATTTATTTTAACAATTTTACATAAAATGCAAAAAAGTCACACAATTATCTATATTCTTTATATTATAATATTTATGGTTCACTTTATGTGATTAATTATTTATAATAATTATAATTATACATATATAATTTGTATTATTTATAATATAAATAAAATTAGTCAATTTATTACAGATTTAAAAAATTTAATGTTATTTCACCCGTTGCCATTTCGCATGTATCTTTTTTATCTCATTTGTAGTTTTGAACTGAATTAATTGAATAGGAGCGATTTGCTCTTAGATTTAACATATAAATATATTTCGAATTTCGTTCAAGTTTCAAAGTTTGTTTCAAAGAGCTAAAATTTTGTTTTAAACAATAGTCATATAAATTTTAAACTGGAAAGACGTATTTCATTATCGATTATAATATTGTCATACATTCACATTCGTTATCCATCGCGGTGAAATTAATCAGAAATTCGTCCTGCAAGTGCTTGCATTCACACCGAAAACTTCCGCATCGCGCACGAACTCGCCGCCGCTTCGCGATCGTGTTACGTGAAACTTTGCGAAAGTGCGGACGCTCGTTAATCCATAAAGCGGCGCGGTTTCGCAGACTGCAGCTGTAAACTGTCGCTGGCGGACTGCGCCGGCGTGTTTCACCTTTAAACTTCGGTTTGATAAGGCTCTCCACACTTGACAGCTTCATTTTGCGACACTTCTCTTGATGTATCAGCTGTTCAGTCATGATTGAGACGATTAAGATCGGATAAATTGTTAAATCGAATAAATTATTTGATAATACCACGCCCTGAATATAAGGAAAAGCTACGAGATTAAAAATGTAATACACTTTACAGTTTATATCTTCATACAAGCTCGATCGACCCCGATAAAATATTCATTTTACAATTTCGAAGAGTCAAATCTATCTTTTCGAAAATAAAAATAAATTCATAATACATAATTTGTGATCGTTATTAAACACGACACTTATAAATGATTTATAATCTTTTTCAATTGTATTTTGCTAAATATTTTGTGGATTTAAGCTCTTCATTTCTCGGTGACATATAGTTTCTTGCGTGTTGTTTTCTCGAATGATAATTTCCTTCATTCAGAAAGTTATGTGTTATGATAGTGACGAGAAAGTGTTTGTTATTGCACACCAACACAATTATCCGTTAGGAGTTGCTGTTAGTTCTTTGGAAACTCAGTGCATGGCAAGGAATACTTTATTAGCCGCGTCTAATGATCGACAATAGATGCGCTCGAGTAGCGGTAAAGTGAAGTTTAACTCCCGATTTTGCTTTCGAGGGCATCTTCTTGAATCGATTCGGTTCAAATGAATCACAGAGATTCCACATTGATTTTGCGGGATAACTATGTGCAGAGCACGTATAGTATATAGGGTCGTGAATAATGTCTACCACTAATTTCATGAAATTTCCTATTGTAAGCATTTGCTCGCGTAAATCCTGTGCAAGATAATGATCTTATATGATTATAAGAGAAAAATTATGAGATATAGGAAAAGTTGGAGATTAGGAGAAAAAATACATACATATATTTTAATAAAAGTAAACTTTCACGAAAGTTTCATAATAGAAATGAGAGAGAAATGAAAAATGAGATACTGAATTATTCAATTAGTAAAACTTATTTATGTTTCAATATTATGCTCAGTTGTTATTAAGATGTATTTAAAAATAATGAATTTTTTCATGCACAAAAACTCATCTACTTAGTTTCTTTTATTTATTCGTCTTTTTGTTTGAAGAATGATGTAATTATATAGTTAAGAGGAAAGAGTAGGATCATAATTAAATCTTCTCTAGGAGAAGAGAAATTATAGGAAAGAGTAGGACTATACTATTTCAATAGGACTATAATTTAAAAAATCAGAATTTTATTTATTGCAGCCTTCTTTTTTAACTTCCAAATAACTATTATTATTATTATTAGTTATATGAAGTAAATAACGTAAATGCACAATATAGTGAAATGTTGTTTTAAAATAATTGCAATTTAATAGTTTAACGATCTGTTATTGCGTTTTTATTATATATGTAGTAAACTTGTGTGGGTATGATTCGCTTCCGACGCTACTGCAAATTTTGTATTTTATTTTCACAGAGAGACATAAAACAGAGAGAGGTGCTTAGAATACATATTCAAAATATATTATTGTAACATTTTATAATGTAAAGGCAAAAGTGCAAGCACGCGATAGGACGTAGGTTGTAACATTTCACATGACACATCAGAAAGTCTATTTGCAACTTCCTGAATAAAGTTTGCATTTATTGTTGGGTATTATTGTTTTGTCAAATTATTTTCAAATGATGTGATAAATTGTTTCGCTATTAATGTTTTTTTTTATTTACAAATTCTTAGATCAATTATCTTCTAATAATAGTTACAAAAAACTAAAACCATTTATTCTTGTGATTTAAAAATTTTTAATACTGAATATCTGTTTTAAAAATAAAAATTCTAAATAAAAAATTCATACGTATATTTTTGAAATAAACTATATAAAATATATCTTTTCTTTCCATTTTTTTTCAAAATTTATTTTATTCAAATCCCTTAATTTTTAAATATCGCGTAAAATAAATAACAGCTCAATATCTCATATAAATCTTTTTAGCTTATAATCTATTTTGAAAGAAGTTCAATGACTGCGTTCAGCAGAAAAAGCAGCTTTGCGACTGTTATAAAATTCTTAATATAATTGGTTTACAAAATTTCGTAAATCCAAGACCTTGATTGGTTTACATTTAGATCCAATAAGGAACTAAGTACAAGATCACATTATAAACTATATTTAAAAATTTTACAACAGTTATAGAGTTACTTCCTCTACTAAATACAGCCATTAATTATTAAAAATATATGTAATAGCTTACAACATTTTCCATAAATATAATTATGTAAATGTAATTCGTAAATGTAATAAGAAATAATAAATGTATCAATTTAAAAAAATTGATTAAAACATAATTTTAAAAAACAACTATATTGATTTACAAATATATAAATGTCTTAGGATTAATAATCAAAATAAATTTCGCACATTTTAATTAAGAGATATTGATTTCCATTTTGGCACATTTTCGTTTTCTCGGATGCTAGTTACGTACGAGGGGATAAAATTTACAGCAGCTTGCTTAAGCTCATTTCGCATCAGAAGAAGTTTATCTCGTTTGCGCTTGGCGTTGTGCATTGCCCTATTTTTCTGCGTCAGATTTTATGAAACCACCGCTACCACTCCACGAAAGAAAGTTGGCGAATCTGAAGAACGTTCAGAAACTTTCAAGCTTTATTAGACTTGTAATAACATTTGTATTGTTATTGAAACAAACTTTTGTTAATCATATAATTAGTTAGATTATTTTTACGGTAACATGATACTTTTTAGCTTTTTATTAAAG